ATAATGACTCTCACTGGCCCTGAGACTCAGCTAACACAAGGCAGTGGAAGTGACACTGTGCCAGTGACTGGGCCTAAGCCTTAAGAAAGCTGGAAATTTCTACTTCTGTGATTTGCCGTTTAAGAAATCCAGCTACCCTGCGGGAAATATCACGTGGAGAGAGATTAGACCTGTGACTAAGCGGTGAGAAAGTGGTCCAGCCTTCCAGCTGTCCCTGCCAAGGCACTAGACTTGTGAATGAGCCGTCTTGGACCAGCCAGGCAGTTAAGCCCTTGAATGATTGCAGCCCCAGCAAACACCAAGTAGAGCAGAAGAAACAGAGCTGATACCAGCCAACCCACAAACTTGTGAGAGAAAATCAACATGGAGGTTGTGTGAAGGCACTAAATTTTAGGGTGGTTTGGTTATACAGTGATAACCAAAATAGGGCTTGTATCCCCTTTTATGCATTTACCACAATGCTGCAATATTTTGAAGTATTTGAAAAAAAGACTGAGTTATGAATATGTTTACATCTACTTTATGTGCCTACCCCACGAACACTGCTGAGAACCAGAGCTGAAAAAAGTTTGCAGTAAAGGAATTACAATTTATCACATGCCTTTTCCTGAGGGAGAGTTTGTCCTTGGAGATAAAGACAGTTTTGAGCTTTCTGTTCTTTGAAGGTATAGTGGGTGACGCACTGATGTTCCACGGCAGCACTTTGTTCTCCTAAAGCTGAGTCTCCTGCATGTCCCTGAAGCAGCAATCTGTGCCTTTAGCAGACTTTGTGAGAAGAGATTAGTCACTGACAATGCCACTTGAGAGATGCCACAAAGTGGCTCACCTGAATAATTTTTCTAGTGTTTTGATTGTTATACTGCACACACACGCGCGCGCGTATGTGTGTGTGTGTGTGTGTGTGTGTGTGTGTGTTACTCAGCACACAGATAGGCTTGACCTAGTTCATCCAGGCCAGAGAGGACAGGTTGGGAGAGCGTCACACCTGCTCACTGGAATGTGTCAGGCCTGCAGCGGGGAGACCCAGACACAGCAGTGAAAGATCAGGACATTTTATTCCCAATATTGGCAGTAACAGGAAAGCTGTCAGCTTCAGGAAGCACGACAAAAAAGGGGGGAAGATATAGCTCAGTGCTAGAGTGTGCCTAGGTTCGCACAAGGTCCTGGGTTCAATCCCCAGGAGTTCCATTAAAAACAAACAAATAAATAAAAACCTAATTACCCCCCAAAGAAATAAATATGTTTTTTAAAAAAGAAAACATATGATGGAAAAATGGTGGTGGTATTCAAGGTCAAGTATACACAAATTGACACAGGAAAGGAAAACTCAGCAGAAGGAGGTCACCAGGATACTAGGTGGAGGACGGACCTCCAGTCTCCTGAGTGAGGTCAAGATGGGTCCCGGGGCTACTAGGCCTTGTTTCCTCTATTAAAAATAAAACCAGAGTGGCTCAGTAACAAGTTCTACAGCTCTGTGCTCTGAGGAGAAAGTTAAGTTCTGGGATGTTGGGCTGTGGAGCTGGCTCATGGAGGTCAAAGGCCATCAGATTTGAATGGAGCTCTGAAAAGTCAGATATTGCACAAAATGCCTACGGAAATCAAGTACCAAATCCAGTGAGTGAGAGTCCTGTGAGTCCCTGAACACTCCCCAGCTGCTTGGAAGCCAAAAGGAGAAGCACGCTGGCAGGGGTGCAGGACTCGAGGGGCACGATAGCCCAGAAAGAACACGGCCTTTGGAGGGAGACAGACTTGGGCGCTAATGCCAGCTGTCACCGCTGCTTCTGTGGCCGGGGCCAGTCACTTGGATCAGTGAGGACTTCCCCTGCCTGCCTGGAATAGAAACTTCACAAAAGGACTTAACCAAAAAAGGATCTTTTTTTTCTCACATAACAAGAATCCATAACTCAATAGTCCGGGACTGCAGCAGCTGCTTGCTGGCTCCTTCCAGCTTTTTCCTTCCTAGTACTTAACTTGTGGTGTTTGGCTTCACGGCCTCAGTATGGTTACTCCACTGCCAAGCACGCTTCCTGTAGGCAATCAGAGCCAAACCCCATCTCCTCCTGTGGCTTTTTTCATTTGGGGGGAATAGAAACCTTTTCCCGTGACTTCTGTGTGTATCTCATGATTTCATTTCACGCACACATTATTTAATTTCTCTCTCTCTCTCTCACACACACACACACACACGTTGACCACCCCTAACTACTAGACACAGACACTGGGGAAAGGCCAGTATTTTTAACTGGGTGCATTGCTGGTACGAATTTGGTTAGCTTGTAAGAAGGAAAAATGGATAAGCAACTGGGAACAGAAACCAGATTCATTGGTTCATATTTCAAACGGGCATGGCCCGACCTCCCCAGCAGAAGGGCAAGACGCCGGGTGCACCCCTCTAGGACTAAGCTCCATGAGATGGGGGTGGGGGTTCTTGTCTGTTTTGTTACCGTCACATCACCAGCACCCAGAAGAGTGTCCTAAGTGAGTACTCACAATAGATGAAGTGAGTGATGGACGACGCGAGTCTGCAGTCAGCCGGCTGGCCCACGGAGGGAACACAGGAGTGTTGACGCTCTTGTTGTTACCAGGTCTGCCCGGGGTTTTTCCCCCATGTCATGTCCAGAGGCTGGCAGGCAGTGCAGAGCAGCTGGCAGAGGCAAGCATTCTCAAGAGCTGTATTTACTAATGGGAGGTGAATGGAGAGTCACGGATGGGTCTAAGAACAGGGCCCTCACTGTTACCCACCTTGAGAAGGGAAATGTTATGGTATCTTTTCCTAACTGAGCCAGCAGAAACCTTTTAACTTTCAGCTCTCAGAGAACCAGTGTTTTCTTAATGTGCCAGTTGTTATAAAGGTTTCCACCTGGAATTAAAGTAGCCAGAAAGTCAAAAAGGTTTGGGAAGAGACCATGAGTTATCATCAAAATAAATAAATAGCTTTATTCTTGAACGTTAGGGCTGGATTAATACTTGATGAGCATTCAATCCAAAAACCTCGTTGTGCAGACAAAAAATGGTAAGAACCTGATTTGCTCAAAACAGCATCGCTAATTCTGGACACAGTCAGGAGACCCCAGGTGCTCCTAACACAGGTCTTATTACATGTTGTACACCGTCCATCTCTACGGCCCACTAATGCTCACCAGTCTCTGCCCAGCTCCGGGCCCCCTCCCACTCCCAGTGTGCTGGGTGCGTGCTGCCCCGGCGATGGAATGGCCTCTCCTTCGAGAGACCCCACCACAATTGCGGCACTGTCCTGCCTGGCACTGAACACAGCAGTGGTCATGGGGCAGGACCCCACAGCCTACCCTGGCTCTCATACCATCTCTTTCTCCTTTTTATGGCCCAACTACCCTCACTGCCTCACCGCATCCCCTCCTAAAACCAATTCTCTGAAATTGCTCTTCCCCTGTCACCAGAGACCTCAGAATTGTCAGATCCAATGAACTCATTTTTCTGAATTTATCTTACTGTAGTGCTTCTGAGAATTTTTCACTGAAAGATTCCTGACGTCAGAAGAGAAATATAGTGAGCCTCAGGGAATGTGGACTTCTGACCCGAAGCCACAGGCATGAAATAATTTGGAGTTTCTTTTTATCTTAAGAATTCATGTAAATTCTCCATTCTATTCTTTCACGTGAAAATAATGTTCTTTCTTCAAATATCTTAAATAGACTTGATACTCAGGGGATATGCTTGTTTTAATCCTGTGGCTGCATGTTCCACCTGGCACCTGGATTTGGTTTGAATTTTATAACCCTGACCGAGGTCCCTTGAGTATCCCGTAGGAGTCTGTGTTATTCCCAGGCGAGGTAGGAACTCAGTGAGACTAAAGACAAAGGACAGCGGATTTTGGAAGAAGCAACCTCTTCCTTCTCACCTCCCTCCTCATTTTCCTCTCCCCTGGAGAACAGAAGGAGGCTAAGAATGAAAGGCAGAAAATGTACAGGTGACCTGGTATTTTGGCTGCTGCCTTGTTTGGTCCCAGTGGTTCCTATCCAAGAGACATAAGCAGACTGTGTGGGGAGCTCTCCTCTCACTTTGGGTGAAAACTGCCAGGAAAGCTCTTTCATTTGGGGACGGAATATTTACTTACTCAGGGAGATAACAGCCAGAGGTCTGTCATTTCTCACCCAGGTCTCAGACCTTCTTTCCATGGAGGGGGTCTTATCTACACTCTGGATTTTCATATATGACATACAGCTGTGTTAATTATATTTATCAAGTTGTACATTACATCCCTAGTGCTTATGTATTTTTTAACTGGAAGTCTGTACCTTTTGACTGCTTAAGATTTTAACTAAAATTCTCTTCTAAATCATTGTAGTTGGTTTCTAGAGTTGAACTTGTTACATACTTTTCCTTGCTAGTACAAGTACCTTCTTATTTTAAATACTTTGTCTTAGCTCAAGCTGCCATAAAAATTACCCTAGGCTGGGTGGTCCAAGCAACAGACATTTATTTTCACAGATCTGGAGGCTGGGAAGTCCAAGACCAAGGCAGATTTTTTCCCTTAGTGAGAGCTCTCCTGCCAGATTGCTTTCTCACCGTATCCTCACATGGCAGGCAGAGAAAGCTGCCTCTAATGCTCCCCCTCTAAGGGCACTAATCTCATCACAAGGGCTCCTCCCTCATGACTTCTTCTAACACTACTTACCTCCCAAAGTCTCTACTTCCAAATACCATCATCTTTGGGGTTAAGGCTTCAACATATGAATTTTATGGGGAAACAAACATTCAGAATACTCTTCATAAGTAACAGTTCATGTAATATTTTCATAGAATTTTTGAGTCAAATTTTATGGGTAGTAAAGAGGGGGGGCCTTCAGCTAGTCATGGTTTTTCCCAAAATATTTTCCTAAGGGAAAAGAAAAAAACAGCATATTGATTAGAAGTAAGTTCAGCTGGGGGAAATGGGAAACAAAACAAAACTTTACTACTTTTAAATAAGATAGATGTTCATTTCCCTATTGTGTAAAAGTCTAAAGGCATGTATTTGAGACCTGAATGGCAGCTCTGCTCCACTAAGTTCTCTGGGATAAAGCTTCTTCCAGCTCACAGCTCCACTCACTCTTATCTTCATGGACAAGGTAGCATCCAAGTTCCAGGTAGCAGAACGAACAAAAGAACAGAGGAGAAGGGTAAAGGATAAGCCAGGTACCTTTTAAAGAAAAGTTACTGGGTATCATCACAGAGCACTTCTACCTACCTCCCACTGGCAGACTTCCATCATATGGCCACACCTATTGCAAGGGAGGCTGGGAGACGTAGTTTTTCTTTGGGGCAGCCAAAACTTCACTGTTACAGAAAAGGGGGAGTACTAATATTGGGGGACAATAGGAGGCTCTGTCCCCCACAAACTTACTCAGTCTCTCTGCAGTATTTGTCACTATTTTATCCTTGGCTTTGCTGACACCCCTCCCAGTTTTGCTCCTTTCTCTCTGGCTGTAACTTCTCAAACTTTTCTACAGACTCTTTTTCTTCCAGGCTCCCTAGCATTTGGTCCTCATGCTCTCTTCACTTCTCACTCTGTGGACCTTATTGCACGACCATATCAGATTCATGGTTTCTACTACTCAAGTTTTACATACCTACATCTCCTTCTTAGATGTTTTTGCCCTGAACACCAGGCTCATACACCCAATTCCATAAGGCATTCTCTACCTGAATATACTATGGCGACTCAGACTCAGTACATCTAAAACTAAACTGGTTGTCTTCCCTTCAAAATGCTCTCCTTATTTTGTCACCACTATCCAGCCACTTATTTACTGAAACTAGATTCCTGAGATATGCCTGGAATTACTCCCTTCATCTCTCACATACGTTCAATGTCCTTTTTTTCACCCTCTCTTCTCCACCCTCCCTGCTTTTGCTGTAGTGGTTATAACTAACATCTAGTGAGTATTTGCACAAGCCACTTACTGATATAAATACTTTACATATTCTTCAAACAACTCTTCTGTTATTGTTAGAGCAGGCAGATAACTAGATACGAGCAGAGAAAGTGGGGCACAGGCCAAACAGCATGCATCTTGTGACCAATGGGGGTCCTTGTGTAGACGGAGAAAAGCAGGAATCTCTGGAATGATAAGAAATCACATATTTTGGATGACAAAGAAAGGTAGGAAAAGGCAAGAATCTCCAGTGTCCCAATGTAATCTTTTGCTCATTATGCCCACATTACACTGAAATTAACCTTGAGACTTCCAATTAGACTAAATAGGGACAAAAATCCCTTCTTCCCTCTGGAAGGTGAAGCTGAAATGAAAATCAGGGAATATGATCCGAAACCCACCCTTCCCCAATGAATATTCTGCCCATCCATTTTATACTCTAGGTAACCAACTTACCAAAGAAACTCAGTGCAGCTGCTCACCAGAGCTTGCTGGCTCTCCCCTTGAGAGCATTCCATCCTCCCCCAAATTCCATTCTTCATATGACTAACTCCCAGAGTAAAGTTTCTGAAACACAATCTAATCACCTTAGTCTGCTGCCTAAAATCCATCAGTGCTTCTCAATCACCTTCAGACTAAAGTTCCAGCTCCTTAATGTTACATACGGTCTTTCACGGTCTGGCCTCTACCTAGCAAAACAGTCTCTTCCAAAGCCTCCCGCAAGCATGGCACCATCCAGCTACAGGAGACCACTTGCAGTTTCTGAGCGGAACCTATTCCCTCAGTGCGTCTCTGTGTCTTTTCACTCACTCCTAGCTCCTATTTCAAGGGCAGACTATTACGGAAATAGCTCAGTTTCTCAAGAGCTGAATAGGTCACCACTGTGTTTTATAGCTATTGCCATTCTTATCACATGGTATGCTACATGGGGGTTTTCCCTCTCCCCTCCTGGCCATCATAAGTCCCTGGAGGGAAGTGTCACTTCTTTGTATCTGCAGTACCTACTAAAGTACATGGTGCATAATAGTCATTCATTAAATTGTTGCCAAATAAGGATGAAGTAAATACAGACTATGAACTACTTCATTACCTTTCTTGCCATTTTCCTGAACAGGGCCTAGGACATGGAGATCTCTTGAATGTCATTGATCTCACTCTGGTTTACTTACCTGCAGGGGAAGTTCATCTTGCAGGGGGCTCAAAATAATCAAGCCCTCTCATTTGGTGTGGTACAGCTTGGGGATGGGCGTGAGGGTCTGGAAGTAAAGAAGAGCTGGGCCAAGAAAAGGAGCATGAGTACATTTACATTAGTGAAGGGGGGAGCCACGCACAGCACAGAAGAAATGATGCTGGGACATGAAATACGTTCAGTGTGCTTGGGGGTTGTTTTTCAAGGAGATGACTAAGGGCATTTTGTTTGTTTGTTTGTTTGTGGGGGAGGTAATTAGGTTTATTTATTTATTTATTTAAATGGAGGCACTGGGGATTGACCCTGGGATTTTATGCACACTAAGCACATGCTCTACCACTAAGCTATATCCTCCACCTGTTTTAAAATTTTATTTTTTTTCAATTGAGGTACTGGGGATTGAACCTAGGACCTTGTGCATGATGAATCCAGGACCTTGCATGTGCTCTACCACTGAGCTATATGCCCTTCCCCCATTTAACAATTTTCTAAATTTTATTATTATTTTTAATTGAGGAACTGGGGATTGAATCCAGGACCTTGTGCATGCTAAGCATGTGCTTTACTACTGAGCTATGCCCTCCCCTCAAGCATTTTAAAAGGTGAATTTTTCCCCCTGCTCTTCCATGGCAATTATTTTGGGGGGAAGCCAATGCAGAAAGTCGGGGTGTAGAATTTTTACAAAGGAGCATACAATGGTTGTATTTATTTCACAGGATTCTGGTGCTTCTGTGACAGGCAGCCAGAAGGGAAATTACCTTCGCTGGTCTTGGCTCACTCCCCCTCCACTCCTAATCATCCCTTCAGACCCACACGTGGTAGACAGAGCAGTTGTCCTTCACCACTGAGGAAACGCAGCTGAGACTTACGTTACCGTGGAAACAGAATCATTTTTTTGCTGCAAGACACATCGCTTCATCTGTACTATTATGAAGCAGAATACATTGGTAGGGCTGGGAGGGGAATCAAATATTCTGCCCGCCAGTATTGTACTTGGCCTCTGGGTGAATAAATGACTTTCAATTAAAGTGCTTAAATATCTTTTCACTTTAATCATTGTTATTAGAGGCCCAACAGAATTTTCCTTGGAAAAGAGTACAAAATTCAACTCTGCTGTTCAGAAAAGAGCGATAAATTCTTTCAAACTAGACCACTTCTGTTAAAGAAAATACAGGGGAATTTACAATTAATGGTTTCATTGTGCGTGAAATAAATGTCTTTGTCCTTTGTGTTTTGACCTTCTGACTTGATCCTATTGTGGATTTATGAGGTTGTCCGGACCTCTTTCTTCCTTTGTCTCTACTCTAAGCTGCTTTGTAGTGAACATACATATTTACCGTTTCATCTTGTGTTGGGCTGCGTGTATTCAGATCCTCTCTTCCTGGCTTGATGCTGGGCTCATCTGAGCCAGGCGCTCACTCCCGCTTCTGGGTCTTAATTCCCTCGTCCAGCCAAAGCCCTCCCATTTGCTACCTGCCTCTGTTACTAGGAGACTTTCCTCATGTTATGCCCAATCCTAAATTTAGTCACTGTCCTACTTTATTTTCTCCTCTTATAACTGCTCTCTTTCTTACTACTTGTGTGACTTTCACAAAGAGCATATCTATATGACCTGTGCTGGTGGATGGATCAATTCAGTAAAATCCAAGGAACAAAACAAGAATCCCTCATCCCTTCAGTTCCAAAAATGCACACTGGCTCTGGGTTTCCTTACAAGTTCAAAAAAGCACTAAAACAAAAAACCAAGCAACACATACACACACACACATGCAGAGTCTAACTTTAATCACAGGGAAATTCCATAAAGGAAAGAGAAAGAAATATCTTTCACTGGCTGGATGTAAATTAGAAAAAACGCAATACTTTAAAAGTACTAGTATTTTAATTCTAGATAGCAGAGCAGCCTTAGGAAGCAAGTGACATTTACTGAGCAACTAGTTCAGTGCCAGGTGGTTTTACGTCCCCATCTTACTAAATTCTCAAATTCACCTTCAGCATAACTATCATTTCCATTTTACAAATGGGATTTTTTTTAAGTCATTCCCAAAGTCACCACACAAATCCTAAATGGCAGTAACTTCTGATTCCGAGTTCAGTGCTCCTGCGAACTGCCTCACTGCGTCCAGCATCCAGCAAAACTCTGATGTGTGGAGGGCTGAAATCTAACAGGAAAATGAAGAGAATAGGCCTCTAACCATGGCTTTCCATCTCCTGACCGGGCTTTGGAAAAATAATTTATTTGTTTTGAACTCAGATTTGTCCATCCTTATTTAATATGGATAAATAACCTTATCTCCTCATATGCGTAAAGAGTTAAGCAGTGAATATAGGCAAAACATGTCAAAAATATTTCTGTAGGAAGGATGATTTACTCTTGTTACTATAACAGACCCAGATTAGTAGGCCCGTAACACTCCCAATCAGTTCAGTCCCAAATCATCATCAATCCCAAATTGGCAATGTTTTTGAGAACAGATCTATCACATGTGTCTTCTGTGCCTCCCAAGTCATCCTAACACAGTGCTGGGTTAGGTGGTAGATGCACTTTTAAGTGATAAAGTCGTGATTAAATCAAACTATTTTCCAGTATCTCCTTTAGCCATCAGTTATAGACCCAATGTTATCACATAGCAAAAAGGATTCCTTAAATACTTGGACATAATTAGCCCACATTGCTTTATGAACAGTCAGAACACTGGTTCATAGTATTTTCCAATTGAGTTTTATAGGAATAATGGCCAATTCTATTATCACACAAAAGGGAATATTTTATTTCCTTCAACTCCACTGCTTGCCTTTCAGATAAACTCAAGACATGTTAGTAAAGTAAATAGCAAAAAATAATTTACCTAGAACCTGAAATTTCACTCTCCGTGCCTCTAACAAATTGACAATAACTGCTCCATTTTGAGCGTTTACAATGTATGTACTGTAATCTGAACTTTACATACACTATCTCTTTAATTTTATAATGACCCGATGAAATTGGATCTATTATTGCCCCCATTTTCTAGATGAGGAAACAGGTTCAGAGAGTAAAAATAACTTGTCCAAGTCATAACCTATATAAGTCTGTAGCACACTCTGACCCGAATCCATATAGTCTGGTTCTAAAGTACAGCTTTAACAGGTGTCAAAGGAAAATGCACAAAGTAAGAGTTGTGAGTATAAGTTTTTTTCAGGGGCTTACTGAGGACTGTAGTCCAGGAGACAGAAGTTCAGTGGCTCTGAGGGAACTGCTCCAAAAGAGGTGGAGGCGATGTCAGTTTGTACATGGTTTTTTGGGCTAGGAAATACATGCATTCAAATATATGTCTTGGTAAAAGGTTACTGCTAATCACAAAGAACAGATATTTAAAGTTAATGTTTCTGGTGCTTTTCTATGTATGGGAAGATGCAAGAATCTAGGGGAGGGGGGAGGTCACTGAAATGCTTCCTGAGATATAAACCCAACTATCTAAGGGCCTGTTTATCCAAAGCACGGAGTGACTCATCTTGTTTCTCATCCCTAATTCCTCTCAGGGTGAGCAATTGCAGTCGATGACAACTTAACCCTTGCAGAACTGGGTGCTGAGTGATGCTCTTTGTTTTCCTTTATTTTCACTGGGATCATCCGTATCAGCCAAGTGCATCATCTGAGAAAACCAGCTTTCTTTTGCTGCCCATCAGCATGCAGCTCTTTATGCTTTGTTTTATAGAAGAAAGGAGGGAAGGGATGAAAAAGGGAGAAGGGAAGATGGATGGAGGAGAGAAAAAAAGAAAGAAAAGGGAGGAAAGAAGATCACTTGATGTCGTCCACCCCTACCCCCCAATAGCCAGGGCAAAAAAATGGAGCCCATCCAACTTATTAACACTGGTCAGTGTTGTTGAAAAATAAATACGTGAAGTGCCAGTTTGGTTTGATTTGATGTCATTTTGCCTTTGTTTTGCATTTATCAGGAGAAGTATTCTTGCAGATTAAAGGGCCGCTGGAAGATATTTATAAAATCTACTGCTATCACCACGACGAAGCACACAGCGTACTAGAATCCTACGAAAAAGAAGAGGAGCTGAAGCAACATTTGAGCCTCTGTATCCAGTCCTTAAAGTAAGGTCTTTTCAAATGATGATTTCCAGGCACTCTCAGTTGCCTAGCAGGGAACATTTTAACTGGATGTAGATGAAAGGTCTCATATAAATCCTGTGTTTTATGAGGCTTGCTGGGAGCTCTACTTTGTGTTCTCTTCATGAAAAGCTGACATGCCAGAAACCCTGATTGACATTTTTTCCCCTCTACAAGGATGACTAAAAATAACACAGGATAAGATACAGGGCTCTGTAGAGATAGAAAAATGCAGTATCAAAAAAGGAAGTGGGGAAGAAAAGCCCCTCTTAAAGCTGTTGTGACTTGCTGCTCCCACCTAGGTCAAGGAATGTGTGAGACAGTGTGTGTCGCCATGGTCATGGGAGCATGTGGAATAACACAGTTAGTGGGATGTCCTGTGACCCTCTGAATGGCCCTTGCTGTCCCCTACATTCATTCACTCTAGGGAAGGAGGGGAGATTGGCAAAGACAGGCTAGGTCCTGTTAAAGTTAGATTCAGGAAAGTCACTCATGTCTTCCTTCCTAATCCCTAAGTTGGTGGGAGGTGCTAATATACATCTTTTTATCTGGGAGTAATATCTATTCACTATAAAAATCTGAAAAAATATAAGGAAGCAGGAAATAAATAAAAACTCTTGCTATTCCACATGTTAATTCCTTGCTAATCATGGATTAAAAACCAGTTTTCATTTTTTCTGGTCTTATTTATATGTATAAATATGAACATGTTTGGGTTGATTCCTTGAAATGGAATTGGTATCTTACTGTATATACGTAGTTTTCTACCACATGAAGCTGAAAGATACAATTTTTGCCCTACTCTACATCTTACTCATTTTGTGGTTTTTTTCATCTCTAAGGATGATCCATTGTCAAATTGTCTTGATTAGGCTAAGAATTAACCAAACAGAGAGAGCCGTGGTGTATAAATCAATGCACACCCACCCGTCTGCTCTTCCCCCTTTAGACACTCTATTGTAGGGAGGCAAAAAGGGGGTCTTAATGTGGGACAACCGGATTAAAGTGAAATCAGGAGACTAAATGACACTATTCTGGAGAAAGCCTCTCCAGGCCTAGAACTGGGACTGAAAGTGGGTTTAAACTGGGCCCCATAAATTTCTTAAAGTTAACTTTATTGCCCTCTACTGGTCATTAAGTTATTGCAGTTCTTTAACCGTTTTCATACTGTGGAAAAATAACAATATTCAAATTCCTAAATCATCGCAAGTGTTTATTTGTTACTTGTGCTGTACCAAGCATAGTTCTGGGTCCTGAAAATACAAAAATAAATAAAATTTAGGTACTGCCCACAAGTAGCTCAATATGATCAGGTAATTTTCAAAGAGTATGTGATCAGTAGTTTCAGCTCACAATTTCTCTATTCTCTCTAGTTTAGTTCAGTGTTAGCAAATCAATTTAGACAAACCTTAAAGTACGAAGTTGCATCCATCTGAATAAATTCATACATTAGAAGCAACATCTTTTAAATTTACAAGTACTTTTTTCCCGGGGAGAAATAATGGTATTACCCTGGGTGCACATGAACACCTTTCTTACCTTAAAGTAGTGGCAAGATCTAATCCAATAAATGTCTATCTTGAGCCATTTTCCTTCTTAAGTTTCTAGAAATAAAGAGAGAAATCTTACAGCAAGCGAACAAGTAGCACCTTGTATCATCACTCCAACTCCAATCCCAGGACTGGACGTCCATAACAGGAGAGAACGTAGTTAATTTATTTTGGCATGTGCTTCTGATAACTAACCAGAAGTAGAGCTGTCTGTTCAGAGGGAGTTGAACAATAGTTTATTATTTATTAAGCTTTTGACTTCTAAGAGAAAGAAATTAACTGTGCCAGAATATTCCATCAGACAGTACAGCTCAGTATCATACCCCCTAAAAAGCAGCTAAAGGCAGAGGTAATTTTGAGACTTCATGAAGTCCCAATTACTGAAAATTACTTTCAGACCCAATGGCTTATTTGTTCTTTTCTAAAAGCCTTAAGTTATTGCCCTGGGGAGGCCCCAGATCTTGTATATTCTGCAGCATTCTGATTTTAGGGAATAATTTCAGGCATTGGTAGGTGCTAAGGTCTGGAAAGCACCAAATCCAAAGGAAGTAATATTGGCAGAACTATTTCTTAAGGGGAAGAAAATCAAAATAAAATAGCTTAAGTTAGAGCTATTTTCCCCCAAAGTTGCCTTTCTGTGAAAATAAAGTTAATGATGAATTGTGCCAGTCTGCCTGAAAGCTGAGAGCAGTAGAATTATTGACATTACTATAATACTGACCTCAATTGAGCTAAGCTTTAAATTCTGAGAAACAGGTTTTCAAACAGGTTTATAGGCCAAAGAGAGTCTGGACACCCCAAGGGCTTGGTTTCCCTTGCCAGGTAATCAGTCAGAGCTATTACTGGGGCTCTGCCTTTTCCTTGTGGCTAAATAATGGAGCCCAAGTGCACAGTGGCCAATTTCTGATGAATATTAGGTGTGGCCTCCATCTTCCACCCTGCTGGGGAATCCTGGAACAACTGGATTTGAAGCAATAGCCATGAGAGAGGTGGCTTCATGCCTCTGAAGTTAAAGCAGACTTTAAAGCAACATAGATTGCTTTAACCAAAATGAAAATATGTTTATTGAGAGTCTAATAAATATTTATTAAAAGTGGATAATGTTGAAAATATTATACACACACACACACACACACAATATATATATATATGTATATATATATATATATATATACATACACACACATACACACACACAGCCATAGTTCTTGCCTCCTGGGAACATATCTCCTAGTTGGTAGATAAACAAAACCGTCTGGAAAGCTTAATAATAACACAAGAGTTAATTTAAATAACACACCAGAAGTTGTCATGGTCAGGTTCAAAACTAATTTCCAAAAGGATGGTAGAGAGATTTCCTGGTTCTGTAATAAACTTGAGCTCATAACCTTTGGCTATTCTTTGAAGCCCATTATCTTTCAAAAGAGAAAATAATATTTGTATCCAGAAAATAATTTCGAAGCCCTCTGAAACGCCAGGGCAGTGTTTCTTGGTGCGCAAGTTCCCCTGTGTTGGAGCCACCAGGGATTTGTATTAAAAGTGCAGATTCCTGTGCTCTGTTCCAGACCAAAAAAATCAGGATTGCTGGGGGTCCAGTCTGTGAATCTGCACTTTAACAAGCACCCTCAGGTGATCGTGGAAACACACCTAAGTTAAGCACTACTTTAGGAGGAGAAATCACACCCACAGTACCCACTTGCAGCTTTCTCGAAGCACGGAGGCTGTTTTCATGACTGTAGATCCAATCTAAGCAGTAATTTCAGGGTTTGGAGACGCTAAGAAAGAAAAGATTAAAACCGTCCAGAAGCACAATACCACATCAGCATCTATATCCTATAAATTGGAAATCCGCAAGTTTTTTATTTATTTAACAAGGGACATTTACAGAGTAGCATTAGTGACCCATTAGATTGCACAAAATACTGATTTAATACAGTTTCCAAATTTATGGAAGTTATTTGCTAAAGACTTAATTACTTAGCCTCTTTGGGGTCATTTAAGGATTCTGATCTGTATGAGGAAAGTGAAAAATAGGCTATAAATGCAAGTGTAGCTAAAATTAGAATAGCCTGTCTGCAGCCTCCTTTTTTTGTTTTTTTAGTTAAAAATAACACCAAATCCCCCATGCCTTTCAGAGGCCCTAGAGATCTGTTTATTTTTTAATAGAAAAAGAATGAAGGGGCTTTTCCAAGGTCTTTGATAGCTGGAAGACACATTTCTAGCTTCATATCTAGTTGTTATAATTCCATCTACGATTTTCCTTCTTCCTATCCAAGGCCACCTCTCTCAGGGGGAAAACTTCTAACTTCTAGTCATCTGGGCACTTTGGCTGCTCATATACTGAGAGAGCTTCACCATTTAGGGAGGAAGCTAAAAGCTCATGCAACGCAGCATCTAAAGGAATAGAATTCAATTTGTTATCACATTTGGTATTTCTTAATATTATTCTAATGGAGTGTTCCAAGTAAAAATTAAAATCCCTTTTGGAAATTCTTTCAGTTTCTTGTTATGGGGCATCATGTTTGAACAAAGACAATAATCCTTAAGGACTAGCCACGTAAAAACTTCTGTTAACTGTGAATCAAAACATAATGAGTCCACGGGAGTGTAAGGTGTGGTGGTGGATATATTAAGTTACTTTACTCCACGAAGGGGTAAAGGGACCCAGTTTAACTTACTCCTTCCCAAAATGTCCTTGGCTAGGGTTAACTTCTGGAAAGTTTTAGGCTAAAAGGGAAATTTTTTGAAATGATGAGCAAATAACGAGATGTTATAATGTAGCGCCACTATTCCAACAAGTTTTCCCTGTTGGAAAATCTCTCAGATTTCTTTTCATAAAATGTTATACTTGCATTAAACAGTGTTTAATTTATAATATTTAGGTTTTATTTGGTTGGAATAAATGAAATAGAAAGAGAAAAAAATTTCCATGTCTTCTCCAGGAGTTAAAGGAACAATCTTTTCTTTCAACTTCAAAGTATGTATTTTGGTTCCCAAATGATCACATTTTTCACTTACTTGTTTCCATAGAAAATTGCATTCTTATTTTTACTCAACTTCTTTCCCAGATCTTCTTTCTGATCTATGATCCACAGAGCATACTGAGAAAAGAAAATTCCTTACTAGAAGGGGATAGGAATTGGGGAAAGAGTGTGAGCTTAAAGGAAATGAATGGAAAGAAACACTGGGCGGGTGGTACTGGTGGAGCACTTTCCTTCATGGAGGCAGAAGGGTTCTTCCAACAGCAGTTAATACTTGTCTAAAATTGTAGCACCTGCTGATTATTAAAAATTTATAATCCTCTGTTTGAGTCCCAACTGGGAGGTCTTGGATTTAGCAAAATCTAGTTATTTCAAGATGTCCTGGAATTCATTCACATACTATGCCTGGAGAGTGAAGGGATGATTGTTTCACATATATGTACACCCTTTTTTTCTACATGTATCAAGTACTTGGATGAACTTTTTTTTAATGGATTAAGCCCAGTGAAATTTATGAACTTCAGCACAGGCAGTCATCATTGAATTTTTTCATAATCATTGTATATGAGAAGACCATCTACCAGTATGGGATAGGGCCATAGCATTTTTTTTTTATATTGAAAACATTCATTGTATTCTAAAAAATTGGAAATCAGAGGTCATGGTGATCAGCTTATCAACACAGGTTATTATTACTTTATTTCTCCACAACCATAGGAGGCTTTTAGAGAAAAATTTCCATCTCTTTATTCCTGAAATTTAACTTGAACTTTTCCCACTTTTTTATTGCTAAAATGAATTAACTTGACAAATACGTTTTGTGCTCTTACCAGGTGCCGGGCAGTTTTTCAGATGCTGGGGCTACAGCAGAAAACAAAGCAAACATAAATCCTTGCCCTTGTTGGAATGGGGGAGCAGAGAGATAGACAATAAACCGAATAAATATATAGTATATTAGAAAGGGACAAAGAGAAATATGCAGGGAATGAGGATAGAGTACAGTGGGAGACAGGGTATGATGTTTAAAAGGTTGGACAGGATAGGTTTCACTGGGAAGGTGCATTTGAGCAAAGACTTGAAAGAGATAAGGAGCAAGCTACATAGATCTCTGGAGAAAGAGCAGTCATGCAAGTGCGAAATCCTCAAGTGGGAAGCCTGCCTGCTGGCTTTGAAAAAAGGAAGGAGGCCCCTGTGGTGGCCACAGATGGGGCGGGGGTTACGGGGTAGGGGAACCCCCTGGGAAACGTGGTGGAGAGGAGGTGGGAGGAGACACAGGTCACATTGCCTTGGAAGGACTTTAGTTTTGCTTGAACAGAATGGAAGCCACAAAAGCTAGCAGTGCCCAGAGCCGAAGTTTTTGTGGGAATTATCTCATTGCCAAGAGGTGAATTGTTTATAACCTACATAATACTGTATACAGAGATCTTATAGAACACTTGATAATAGTTTTCTGCAAGTCAGTTGCATTTTCCTTTGTAATTTTATAATCTCAGTTTCTCTGATCACTATGTTTAATAGATTCCTTCTTATAATGTAAACAAAAGTTGACATTGAAATCCATTTTCAAATGATAAAAATTTACAAATTATGACCAAATCAATAGGTTTTAATCTTACATAAAGTATGAAACAAATACAGTGGATACATACTAAAATAAAATTTTAGGGGCATAATTATAAAAGAATGAGACCAATTTTATAAAACATTCAGGAAATGACTTATTACATTATTTTACACAATCAAATTTTAAAACTTTCATCATGCTTGTATATTTATTACCTTAAATATCTGGATTTGCATGAATTTATTTATTTTTCTCTTCTCTTACAGGAAAATATACATGCAAGAGTAAGTATTTTTGTTTTAATGATAAATATCAAATGTAAAAATCATGAGGAAAAGCTGTTGAACATTTCTGTGCAAATTAGAATGTTAGTTTTTACATTTATGTTTATTCCTTTTAATAAATAAGGTTTCAAAGACATTTACCCTAGACATTATTGGTGCATTTATTTCCAATTTGTCTGAGATGATTTTACACATTAAATTATTACTACATGCACCTTATTAAGCTTGTTAGAAGAATCTTGGGGTATAATTTACTTAAATCACAGGTTTGCTGGTGCCAGGAACTCTTTGGGAACTGCTCATCACACATATATTTAGGAATCTGAATGTGTCCAAAAACACTTCTTCCTATGGACAACATTAGTCTAAAAAGTCTCAGATTAATACCATAATGTTTTTGAAGGTTACACAGATTAATGTACAAAAGAAAAGATTTCCTATGCCTTAGAGTAAAATATTGGGTTTCTTCAAATTTGGACTCCTGTATGATTTATGAAGAAAAAAAA